TCAAGTAACAGCTGAGGCAAAATAAATTCAGAGGCATCACAATGAATCCCACCTAATACAAATTAACTATACAGACCAACACGTGTCTACAAATTAAAGTTTTCTTGTTCTGATTGCCAGTTAAATACAGAGTTTTAATTTCATAGCTTAACAATGAAGGGTCATAATGAAGCCAATACATACGGCTAGCATTTCAGTCTAAGCTTGTCCACATACATAGCTGAAATCAATTACACGGTTTAGCCTAATAAATGCTAGGGGAACTTTTTCTTAAAGTAATTTTAACAGGTATTAAATTTCACCTTGCACACTGAAGTCATCATACATACAGGGCAAAGTCAGCTTTTATATTTGCGTTTATTCGTTTAACTTTTAAACACTACTATGTTAAATATATAAGAAAACAATGTAAGTCAGTGAGCGTATTGATTATAGTCTTTCACTCATTTCACTACTGCACTATAAAGACTGTCAGCAGGTGCCGGCGCGGTGGCTCACGCCGTACCTAGCATCCTGGAGAGCCGAGGCGGGCGGATTGCTAGAGTCAAGGAGTTCAACAACCGAGCACGAGCGGACCCCGCTCTACTATAACAGAATAGAAAGAAATAATTGGCCAACTGCAATCTATGATATATATACTATATAAATTAGCTGGGCATTGGTGGCACCATGCCTTGTCCAGCTACTCGGGAGGCTGAGGCAGGAGATTCGTTGACCCAGGAGGTTTTTGAGGTTGCTGTGAGCTCAGGCTGACGCCATGGCACTCACTCTAGCCTGGGCAATTAAACGTGAACTCTGTCTCCAAAAAAAAAAAAAAGTCAGCAGTGAGTCTCATTCACTGGCCTCGATTAAGAGGTTGACACTGAACACCACCTCTGGGATGATGTTCATCATCCTCATATGCTTCTCCATTGTAATGCGCCGTCTCCTCTGATTTGGATCAAAGTCACGAGTTCTACTTGATCATTTCATCAGTCTCTTCTACTTCCTTCCTCTCAGAATTTTCCAGCAAAGAACAGTTTATCAGGAGAAAGAAACATTTTCAGGAAAATTTACCTTAAATTCGATGATTAGGCGACCCTTTTCATATGGTCTACGATAAATTGGCATGCCTTCATTTAGCACACACTTGATATCTCCATGCTTGACAATCTGGATGAGAGGTGATGACTATGGTTTGGTTGTCAAGAGTAGATATTGGCTTCTGGAAGCCGCATAATGCTTCAACCAGCTGTATGTCCATACACATGAAAAGGTCTTCTCCTCGTCAAGTAAAAACAGCATGGTCCTTCTGATCTAACACAATGATAATATCTCCTGGCTGTAGTCCTGGTTCTTGGTCTCCTTCACCATGGAATGTTATCTTCTGGCCATCTTTCATGCCTTTGTCAATATGAACTTCTAGAATCTTCTTTTCTCGAACTATCTTCCTTCCATTGCAGCTTTTACATCTGTCTTTAGGACTGATCCGTTCCCCATGGCCCTGGCACTCCATGCACACTGACTGAATTTGCTGGACCATTCCAGGTCCTATCTGATGAATTCTTATTTGCATTCTAGTACCTCGGCAATTGGGACAGCACTCTACTGCTCCTTTCTTACCACCTTGGCCTTCACATTTGTCACAAATCACATTCTTTTGCAGAGCCAGTTTTCTTGTTGCACCATTATATAAATCTTCTAAGGTTACTGAAAGCTGATGTACAACATTTTTACCTCTCCTTTCTCTTTGCATCCTTCCTCCTCCTCCAAAAAACATATCAAAGATGTCCATGGGGGAGCCAAAACCACCACCTGCTCCACCCTCTTTAATTGCCTGTTCTCCTCCTTTGTCATATAGTTCCCTTTTCTTTGCATCAGAGAGAACTTCGTAAGCTTGAGAAATCTGTTTAAACTTCTCTCCTTCATTTGGACTCTTATCAGGGTGGTACTTCAAGGCCACTTTCCTATAAGCCTTTTTCAACTCTTCATGAGTGGCATTGGGTTTGACCCCCAAAACATCATAGTAAGTGGTTTCTTTCACCATTTTCTACAGCCGGTGAGCGGGCTGAGGCCGACGTGGAGAGCGGGAAGGAGCGCGTAGCCGTGCGCAGCTTGGGCAACCGCTGCTCCTCCACCTCTCACCGAGCGTTCTGGAAAGTTCCCGCTACGATCACTTTTATTTTCCCTGAAAACTTTTTCCCTCTGGAGTTAATTGTGCTTCCATTTGCTGTGTTCTTCTCAATGATCGAACCCTCAACTGCAGGCTGCTTATATAAACCTCCTCTCGAGATTCAGGTAAATCACTTATTCTCACAATTTCTTTTTCCTAAGAAAGTCTGTCCTGGGGGTCTTTGACCTGCTCTGACCTGCGGCTGCCCTCTGACCTTGCCGCCCAGCTGTTGTCCAAGGTCTCATGTCACCACTGCCCTGGTGGTTCTTCCGGTCCTGAGTCTTTCCTCTTTCTTGGGGGTAACACATCCTCTGATAGCGTCTAATAAAGGGTGTGTAGGAGGGAAGGTTTTGGACAACTTGCCTGTCTAAATACGTCTTTATCCTCAAACTTAATTTGACAGTTTGGCCAAGTATAGAATTTGAGCCAGGAAATAATTTCCTCTTAGAATTTGAAAGGCCTGTGGTGTTGCCTCACTGCCTGCTCTCTCTCAGAAGTTCCGAAGTCCAAAACCATTATGAATCCAGATCTTTTCCCATCCTCTTTCTGGAAACTTGTAGGAAATTTTCTAGGTCCCCATGCTCCAAATTTTACAGTGATGTGCCTTATCGTAGTTCCGTTTTCATCTACTGTTTTTATCTACACACGGGGGCCCATTCAAATGGAAAACATGTCTTTAAGTTCTGCTAAATTGTCTGTCTTTAAACAAAATTAAAAATTGTTATTTTATTTTCACTTATTTTTGAATAAGTATTCCATTCATATGGCTCAAAAATCAAAACTACAGGAGTCAGGGGCACTGAACCTCTGCACTGCTGAAAATCTGCTTGTAACTTTTGACTATCCACAAACGTAACTGCTGATACATAGCCTCCTGTTGACCAGAAGCCTTACTCACATAAACAGTCGATTAACACATATTTTGTGTATCGCATGTGTTATACTCTGTATTCTTACAATAAAGTAAGCTAGAGAAGAGAAAATGTTATTAAAGAAAATCACAAGAAAGAGAAACTGTATTTACTATTCATTAAGTGGAAGTGGATCATTATAGGGGTCTTCGTGTTGAGTAGGCTGAGGAGGAGGAGGGTTGGTCTTGCTGTCTCTGGGGACGCAGAGGCAGACGAAAATCTGCGTGTAAGTCAACCTGCATGGTTCAAACCATGTTGTTCAAGGGTCAACTGTAGATGTAAAAAATTCAGTGGAATGTCTCCACTTCCCTCACAAATAACTCTTATTCTTATTTTTTGTGTGTATATCTTCTCAAAGTTTATGTGAATTCCAGCAGCTATGAATATGTGGTCTTTTTCCCTTGTCCCTACAGATGAGGTGGCATCACATACACCTTTTGCCCTGTCTTTTTCTCACTCATGAAGAGAGATGTTTGTAACTACACTTAGCGAGCTCAGGACATTTTATAACTTTTCCTTCTCCACTCTCTTCTCTCTTACTGGGACTGCTGCTTTCTGATGATATACTTCTCGGACTGGTCCTTGAATTTTTTTTCTTTCCTATTATCCACTTCAAAAGTTTCTCTCCTCTAGGATATTTCCATAGCTTTATCTTTCTTCCCAAGGACATTTTATTCCTCTCTGAATGTGTGTGTGTGTGGTAATAGCACCGTGTTCTTGTTTCATCGAGGTTATCTGCTGTTAGCAATCTGAGAATTTTACTGAAAGTTGGTATGTTTAAAGTTTCCTTCTCAATGCATAGACTTTATTTTCTCCAAGTTTTAAAAAAACATTTGTGTTTTTTCTTTCATGTAATAGGCTTTCCTTGGATGTCAGGCGATTCTGGACCCTGCTCTGTTGAAGCAGACAGGGCTCTGCGTGTGAGCGTGCGGGCGGGGGGCGTTCGCTAGGACCCATGGCTGAGTGTTGCACAGGGGACCTCCCAGGCCACTTTTGTAAGCTCGTATTTTGGAAGGCAGGTCAGCGTGCCCAGATAAGATCCTCCCTGTTCCCAGCCTAGTGCCGGCTTCCTGGCATCCAAGGGTGGGGAGAGGGCTGGCGCAGGGGTCTCGGCACCAGTCGATGGTTCGCTGAGTGGCCTGATTTCGGGACAGTTCGGCTGCCCTCAGCTTGCCCGGTGTTTCTGGCCCAGACACCCTCCCCAGAGGGAAAACCCAGCTGCTGGGGCCACCGTCACTCGGCTTGGAGGAGCAGAAATGGGGATGTAACTGCTGCTTAGACCACGTTCCAACTAATTGACCTTATTTTCAGCCCTGTCCTTCCAGAGTTACTTGGGTTTCTGGCAAATTCCTGAGCGTGTTGAGGACTCTGTAGATCAGAGCGGGTCTCAGCTCCCTGCAGCTGGTTCAGGGTTCAGTTTTCTTGGGTCCGTCCAACAGCCTGCTGCCGTCTGTCCACGCCCACCTTCCCAGGCGCTGTTGCCGTGGCTCCTGTCTCCCATTGGGGTTAAAAACTTTAAAGAATTCGGAGATTGTCATCTTAGTGTGTTATGAGGTGGGAGTTTGTGTTCACTCTCTTGTTTTTACTTGGAATTTATGTTTTTAATGTAGAGAATTTATAAATGAGAGACACAATAAGAGGCAAGCACTGATCTTGCATCCCTTTGACCTGGTCCTAGTAACACCTCTGCGGCTGTCACTAGTCCCCTTGCTGTGTGCACTTGTGTTTTGTTACAGAAATGGGATATGGGGGGGGGAGGGCATTTATTGAAACCTTAAAATCCATACCCCCATAATATGCCGAAATAAAAAAGAAAAAGAAATGGGATAATATACCATATAATTGTTAATGTCTTTTTCACTTAAAATATATTAAGAACATTCTCCGTTGTCAATTTTGTATTTTGAAAAAAGATTACACAAAAATGTTACTGTGTAAAGTGCAGATATGCAAAGAAATAAAAAGCTCCCATCATCCCAGCATACAGAAATGGTAATCACTGCGATATTTTGGTATCTTGTCATTCTAGTAGGTGGATGTGTATAGGATAAGTAACTCATTCCGAAAATACAAAATCTTTTATAAATATTCAGTTTAGTATGGGAATGACTGAACAAATAATTACTAATTCCCACAATTGTGAGTTCATTCATTCATTAATGTTTACTGAGTGCTTACTGTGTGCAGGGCACTGAACAGCACGGCTCTTACGTCCCACGGGTGGAGACAGACGAGGAACAGAGGAGTAATACATGGTGTGCTGGGCGGCGCGAGGTGCCAGGGAGGGGGGAAAAGGCAGGAGGACGGCAGGATGGGGTGCATGTGCTGCTATGAAAGGGGGTGAGGCAAGGCCTCTCCGGAAGGGGCCATTCGATCGGAGCCCTGACGGACGGGAGGGAGGGACCACGCAGGCGTCTGGGGAAAGGAGCCTGCAGGCTGAGGGCACGAGCGTGTGCAAAGGCCCTTGTCTTGGTTTGCAATTTATGCATAATAGAACTTTGTTTCTAGGGTTCTGGAGGCCGGGATGTGCCAGGTCCGGGTGCCGGCAGGACAGGTGTCTGGCGAGGGCTGCTCTCTGCTCCCAAGGTGGTGCCTTCTCGCCGGGTCCTCACGCTGGGGCAACCGACGGACTCCTCCCTCAAGCCCAGTTATAAGGGCACGAGTTCCGTCCCCTCCGTGGCCTGATCACCCTCCAAAGGCCCCACTCATTCCCATCTCCTTGGGGGTTAAATTCCGGTGTGTGAATATTGAAGGGAAATGCTCAGACCACAGCAGCCCTGGAGCGGGGAAGTGCCCCGCGCTGAGGACCCGCCAGGACGTGAAACCGCGGGGCAGTGTGAGGGAAAGACTGTCGAGTCCAGAGCAAGAGCACTAGCGCCTCGAGTGACAGTGGGGACCAGGGCTTCCATGACGGGCGACATACGGAGCCACTGCAGTTCTGAGCACAGGAGCGATATGACTCGGTTTACCTTTTTTCTTTTTAAAAATACTTTTAAAATTAATGTTAGATTTATATAAAAGGTGCAAAAATAGTACAGAGAGCTTCTGTACCCTCCCTTAGCCAGCTTCTCCCGATGGTAACACTTTACATGATCACAGTGCGATGATCAAAAACACAAAAATGAACGTTGGTTTACTGCCATTGAGTAAACCATGGACTCCAATCCCGTCAGTGTTTCCACCAACGTCGTCTTTTCTGTTTCAGGGTCTGCCCCAGGAAGTCACGTGGCATTTAGCTGCCAATTCTCCGTGGTGTTCTCCAGCCTGTGACGGCTCCTTGGTTTCTTCCCGTCTTTCATGAGCCTGACGCTTTCCAAGAATACTGAACAGGTACGCGGTCAACTGTTCCTCGGTTTGGCTCTGCCTGCTGCTTCGTCACGGTGCGGCCAAGGTCACAAGTTTTTGGTGAGACTGTCACAGAATGACAGGTGTGTCCCCCTCAGTGTGTGACATCACAGGGTTCGTGATGTCAACGAGTGTCATTACTGGTGGTGACGCCGTCCACATGGTCAAGAAGTTTCTATCAGGTTTCTCCACTTTACTGTCTTTCCGTTTTCAATTAAATACATTGAGGGAGACAGTTTGAGACTATACACATCGTTTCCCCTCAGATTTGTGCCTACTGGTGTTAGCACCCATCAGTGACTCGTCTGAAATAATTTTTACTGTGGTATTTGCGTAATGATGAGTTTTATATTTCTCTCTTTAATTTGCACATTAGTTGTAATTCTGTAAAGAAGAGCTGTCCTTGTACCTCACTTATTAAGTACTTGCTTATATCCATATGAGCCCATGAGTGTTTATTTTACTCTGTGGGCTATAAGCCAAGACTGTCTTAATTTTGGTTCTCAAATTTTTCCATCTTTGTTCATTAGGAGTTATTAATCAGGTTAGGAACTGTGTTCTTGAACAAACCCATCTTTTTTGAATGTGGATATACAAATATCTTGTTGAGAGCATGCTTTCAATTCTTTTGACTATATAGCCAGAAGTGGATTTGCTGGATTATATCGTAATTCTATTCTAAAGATTTCAAAATTTAAAAATTTTTTTGAGGAACCGCTATAGTGGTTGCATCATTTTACATTTCCACTAACAGTGCACAGGGGTTCCAATTCTCCTCCTCCTCTTCTTCTTCAATGGTAGTCATCCTAATGGGTGTGAGGTGGTATTTTATTGTGGTTTTGATTCGAATTTTCCTAATGCTTAATGACGTTGAACATATTTTCATGTACTTATTGACCATTTTTATTTCTTTAATGAAATGTCTATTCAAGTCCTTTGCCCATTTTTAAATCAGGTTTTTAAAAATTGCTGTAACCGTTCTTCATTCTGGATATTAACCCCTTATCAAACATATGATTTGCAAACATTCCCCCCATCCTGCAGGCTGCCTTTCTAGGCTGTTGATTGTGTCCTTCCGTGCACAGAAGTTGTGAATTCTGATGCAGTCAGTTTACCTGTTTCGTCTTTTGTTGCCTGTGCTTTTAGTATATGATACTTTTTATGTATTGCTGGACTCAGTTTGCTAGTATTTGATGGAGAATTTTAGCATCTGTTTTCGTAAGGAACACTGCTGTCATTTCCTTTCCTGCGATATCTTTGGTTTTGTTATCAGTGTAATCTTGACCTTGCACAGTGAGTTGAGTAGTGTTTCCTCCTTCTTTATTTTTGGAAGAGTTTGAAAAATTTGGAATTATTCTTTAAATGTTTGACAGAAATCACTAGTGAAGCCACTGAGCCTGAGCTTTTCTTTGTAGGAAGTTTTTATTTTTTAATTACTAATTTCTTTCCTTGTTCTAGGTCTAGGTCTATTCAGATTTTCTCTTTCTTCTTGAGCCAGTTTCAGTAGCTTGTATCTTTCTAGGCATTTGTTAATTTCACGTAGGTTATCTCGTTTGTTGGCATACCATTGCTCACAGTATTATATTTTTAAACCTCTTTCAGGCTGGTAGTAATGTCCTCTCTTTCATTCTGTTATTTCCATC